TTCCACTGTCGAGGCTCCGACCCCTTTGTTAATCTACCTAGTCGCTAAACTTTTGGTATATCCTTAGGTGATTAAATCAAGCATTAGTTTGATTAAGTTCAATTGTTCACAACCTACAAGTAAATCAACTTTCGCAGTCTAAAAGAGGTTGCCCACCAAATACTAGTTCAGGCGAATGATACAGCACTATCGAGGCTCAAATCAACCCAAGTTCATATGCTTATTGGCCAGATTAACAACAAGCATTAAGTATAAGCAAAGATGGAGATTATAAGTAAAACCCTAATTGTGATCAATCATCAAACATACATGAATGCTATCCTTTGACTTCCTATCACTTAACAAGTAAACTACTCAGACATAGAGAAGGAACACGAATTCATATTCATAAGAACAGAGATTCGAATCCTCTCTAGAAAGAGCACACGCAAGAACAAAGTAAAAGCAACCAAAACTTTATTAAAGATGTAAAATATATTGTGGTCTCTCTCCTTCTTGAGTTACAAGGCTAAAAAGAAGTATTTATAATACACTAAGTATGAAAAAGCGGCTAGACCTAATCTTGCTAGGTCGGCGCCGGCTTTGGGCTTGGATTGTGCGGATTGGGCTTCAAAAACGGCTTTGGGGCGACCGCGGCGTTCAGACGGTCGGTCGGGACGATCGGCCCGACAGTCGGGTTGTGGCCGTGTCGGAACGGTCGTGGCCGGATGATTTAACGGTCGGCCGGTGTGGTCGGACGGTTGATGGAATGGTCGATGGTTTCTCGGCCGGACTTGGGACGAGCCGGAACCATCGGCCGTGGTACGCGAGATAGGTTACGCGGCCGCGAGGCTTTGTTTCCCGGCTCGCGCGGCATGGTCGTGCGCGGCGAGGCGTGGACGGTCGTGGCGTGGCCGACTGCGGGTCTTAGTTTCCCGGGTCGTGATGCATGATCGGCCGAACGGTTTTGAACTTTGGCCGAGACTTCAGACGGACGGACGCAATTTTGGCCGAGAGCGGAACATGCGTTCCTCGGCCGGCCGTTCTGCGCGGTTTGGGCGTCGATTCTCGATAGATCGGCTTTGGACAGTCTTCGCTCTTTTGGCTATAAGTCCTTTTCTACTCATCCAAATGAGGCCGTTCCAGTTGCGTTGGAAAGTTAACTCAATCAGAGCACGCAGGGAACTAGTCTTGATGAAATCCATTGAGTAGATCGTTTTCTAGCTCCATCCAAAGTTGATGCAGTGGCATTGAACTGGTTTGAAGTCCGGCACTACAAGAAAACAGCGTGAAACTGATGGAGAAAATTGTCGATCAACCGTCGGAAACCATCTATATCGACGGATTTCCGACCGTTATAATTCGTCAATTACAAGTCGTCGGAAAAACAACATTCGTCGGAAATCCGTCGTAAATAACCGTCGGAATCCGTCGAAAATTATTAACGACGGATTACCGAGAGTTTATCGACAACCATCATGGTCGGGATGTTCATCAATAATCTGTCGATAGTAAGCCGTCGGAACCCGTCGAAACAGTTTCCCGGCGGAATACTGAGAGATTATCCGCAATGGTCCTGATCGGGAAATCTGTCGATAATCCGTCAGAAAATGATTCCGTCGGAAAGTCATCGCTTATTTTCTCAACGGAAATTTGTCGGAAATTTATCGCAAATATATCCGACGAATTGTAGACGGAATTAATCAAAATTTTCCCGACGGATTTTGTATTCCTCATTAAACCGTCGGAAATGTTTCCTGTGATTTACGACGGACTTCATGCCTGTTGAAACACTGTCGGAAATATTTCCCTATATACGATGGAAATAAAATTTGTCGCTAAACCATCGAAAATATCCCAATAATTCCGACGAGTTCTAATCCGTCGGAAATTGCCGACGGATTACCGACCGTTTTTGTGCTGTTGAAAACCGTCGGAAATCCATCGAAAAATTACTGGGGCGTGGTGGTGGAACATAAATGGGACCTTTAGCAAATCTGTAGAGGAAAGCTCCTTTGTATCCATTCCAAGTCTTGAAAGCATGTTGGGCGTTGAACTTAGCCCATTCTTTGGCTTGTCCAGCTAAAGATAGTTGGAAAAGTTGTATCTTCTTGGGGTTATCTCCAACTCCATAGTCGTGGCAAAGCTGCTCAAAGTTGCATAGATGCTCCTTTGCACACTCTGAAGTAGAATTGTAGAAAGGGTTTCTCTCCACATGCTTGATTAGCTCTTCAAGATGGGGTGGTATGCCTCCCCATTCTTCTTCTTCACGCTCTCTCTCCAGCTGATGAGAGTAGTGATTGTACTTGGACTTGAAAGGTGGTAGCCTTGCAAATCTCTTCAAGAAGGCTTCTCTAAAATCGATCCATGACTCGATTGTAGAGAGTGGCTCATGCTGCGCCCAATCTAGTGCTGGTCCAGCTAGTGATGTGCTGAATAGCATCATCTTCTTCTCAAAGTCAAAGACTCCATAGGAATCACAAAGATTATCAAAGTGATCCAGATGCTCTAGCGCATACTCTGAAAACAGATGATGGAATTGATCTCTCTTCACGAACTCAATCATCTCAGGGTTAATCTCCTCTTCTGGCGTGGCTAGAAGGTGTTCTTCTCTGTAAGATGCGGCTTGGCTAGATGTCTCCAGGTCGGCTGCTTCAAGGTAGGGAAGAAGTTTCTTCTTTGTCTTCAAGGAGGATAGTTTTGGAGGACTATCCCAAGAAGGTGGTGGTGCTTGAGGGCTTGACATCTCTTGTTCGTCCAAGAGGTTTCTTTGAGGTGGTATTTGGCGAAGTGGAATCGCCTTTATAGGAACAAGGACTTGTGAATCATTTTCCATATCTAACTAGGAAAGCCTGAAAAAGATCAAAAACAAAAAGGAAAAACCAAATCAAAAGGAAAAGGGAAAATAACAAAACTAAAAAGGAAAAAGATAAAACCCTAGACTAGCTCTCTTGCAGGAACTTGTAGGTGACGAATTGGTCCCCGGCAACGGCGCCAAAAACTTGATCGCGGGATCAGGTCTTCCCCTTTCCTATCCCTGATTCTGTAAGTGCACAGGTCAGAAGTAGTAAACGGGTATCGAACACGAGGACCAGATTGCACACTACAAGCTATAAGTTCGAGATCGAGCTAGGGCAAAAGTATAAGGTTTGGTTGAGTGCAGTAAGAGTAAAGGCATGCAAGTTTCAAATAGAATAAGATCAATAGGAGAAAAGGGCTAAGCAATAGGATAGTCTTAAGATAAGCAATTCATGAAGCAAGAAATCAATCAATTAGGGTTACTGCAATTAGGTGTCATTCTAGAACTTGAAACACTAAGGTATGATCATTCCACTGTCGAGGCTCCGACCCCTTTGTTAATCTACCTAGTCGCTAAACTTTTGGTATATCCTTAGGTGATTAAATCAAGCATTAGTTTGATTAAGTTCAATTGTTCACAACCTACAAGTAAATCAACTTTCGCAGTCTAAAAGAGGTTGCCCACCAAATACTAGTTCAGGCGAATGATACAGCACTATCGAGGCTCAAATCAACCCAAGTTCATATGCTTATTGGCCAGATTAACAACAAGCATTAAGTATAAGCAAAGATGGAGATTATAAGTAAAACCCTAATTGTGATCAATCATCAAACATACATGAATGCTATCCTTTGACTTCCTATCACTTAACAAGTAAACTACTCAGACATAGAGAAGGAACACGAATTCATATTCATAAGAACAGAGATTCGAATCCTCTCTAGAAAGAGCACAAGCAAGAACAAAGTAAAAGCAACCAAAACTTTATTAAAGATGTAAAATATATTGTGGTCTCTCTCCTTCTTGAGTTACAAGGCTAAAAAGAAGTATTTATAATACACTAAGTATGAAAAAGCGGCTAGACCTAATCTTGCTAGGTCGGCGCCGGCTTTGGGCTTGGATTGTGCGGATTGGGCTTCAAAAACGGCTTTGGGGCGACCGCGGCGTTCAGACGGTCGGTCGGGACGATCGGCCCGACAGTCGGGTTGTGGCCGTGTCGGAACGGTCGTGGCCGGATGATTTAACGGTCGGCCGGTGTGGTCGGACGGTTGATGGAATGGTCGATGGTTTCTCGGCCGGACTTGGGACGAGCCGGAACCATCGGCCGTGGTACGCGAGATAGGTTACGCGGCCGCGAGGCTTTGTTTCCCGGCTCGCGCGGCATGGTCGTGCGCGGCGAGGCGTGGACGGTCGTGGCGTGGCCGACTGCGGGTCTTAGTTTCCCGGGTCGTGATGCATGATCGGCCGAACGGTTTTGAACTTTGGCCGAGACTTCAGACGGACGGACGCAATTTTGGCCGAGAGCGGAACATGCGTTCCTCGGCCGGCCGTTCTGCGCGGTTTGGGCGTCGATTCTCGATAGATCGGCTTTGGACAGTCTTCGCTCTTTTGGCTATAAGTCCTTTTCTACTCATCCAAATGAGGCCGTTCCAGTTGCGTTGGAAAGTTAACTCAATCAGAGCACGCAGGGAACTAGTCTTGATGAAATCCATTGAGTAGATCGTTTTCTAGCTC